AGTTTATTTATTTATTTTTAATAGCTAATTAATTATTTTATTTTTTAATATTATTAACAATAAATTTACATGTTTGTTTAGACACTTTTCAATTTATTTGATGATTGGCTTAAATCCATTTCTTCATATACAGCATTTTCACGTCTTATTCTTATTTTACGTGCATTACATGTAAACACCGACAAGACTAAAATGATTTTAAGACCAGATAAAAATACCATAACTGAACCGCATCATATTTGGCCAACATTAACAGATGAAGAATGGATAAAGGTTGAAGTCGCATTGAAAGATTTGATACTGGCAGATTATGGTAAAAAGAACAATGTGAATGTTGCTTCGTTAACTCAATCAGAAATACGTGACATTATCCTTGGTATGGAGATATCTGCACCATCTCTTCAAAGACAGCAGATCGCGGAAATTGAAAAACAAACCAAAGAACAATCACAGCTAACAGCTGTCACTACAAAAACTCAAAATATTCATGGAGACGAAATGATTGTCACGACTACAAGTAATTATGAACAGCAAACATTTTCATCGAAAACTGAATGGCGTGTAAGAGCAATATCGTCAACAAATCTACATTTACGTACAAATCATATTTATGTCAATGCTGAAGATATAAGAGATACTGGTTATACTTATGTATTACCAAAGAATGTTTTGAAGAGGTTTATACAAATAGCAGATCTTCGTACACAAATAGCAGCTTATATGTATGGAATATCGCCTCGTGATAATGCACAAGTTAAAGAAATTAGAGCTCTAGTCATAGTACCACAATATGGTACACATCAAACGGTCAATTTGCCTAATATGGTGCCAGATAATGAGTATCTAAAAGATTATGAACCATTAGGTCTTATTGTCACTCAACCATTTGAAACTGCACAATTATCACCAACAATACTCTCTTTACATGCTAAGTTTGTGGCAGAAAATAAAAATTGGGATGGTGATAAAACAATAACAATGACAGTTAGTTTTACACCAGGATCATGTTCTTTGACTGCTTATAAATTAACACCAGCTGGGTTCGAATGGGCACGTAATAATAAAGACACTTCACCTAATCCACCAGGTAATTTTTTTAAAAAACAAGTTTTAAACCTTTGGTAAAAACTAACTAGCTAGCTAACTTTTAATTATTAATTTTTCCATTATACAAATATGTTAGGTTACTTGCCTACATTTGCAGAAAAGGTTCAAATGTTATTATCAGATCGGTTCATGGGATTCTTCATGGTCCCAGAGAATGATATCTGGAATTATTCATTTATGGGTCCATCACATTCTCCTACTATGAAATATTATCTTAAACTAGATATACCAAAGGAATTTTATCATGAATTGCATAGGTATGTATATGTTTCTTATATATATACATATTACTTATTGAAAAAAAAATTTATCATCTAATTAAAAAAAAATTACTTTTATAAAATTTAGGCCACAACATTTTATTAATTTTAGCTCTTTAGAAGAAGATATTGATGCAGATCGTGATGATGTTTTTGCATAATTTTACTTTCGATGTAAATAAAAATATTTAATTATATAGAAATGTTTGTTTGAATTAGTATAGAAATTTTTTTTGATGGGTAAAAAATAAAAGTTTTTGGGAAATATTTATAAGTTTATTTTCCGTATATTTTTTCAATTAGTGAAGAATTGCTTCATCTTTTATTTTCATATTCATTATAGGATTTAAATAACTATTAACATTGTTTTCGCCAGAATTGCGATACTTGCGGACATTTCAATATTTACAGTACTTACAATCTTTACATTACAGAATCGCTCAACTAAATTAGAGTATTTCTCGTTGTTTTATTTTTTAGATGATTTAATTTGATCAAAAATTGAACTTTAGGACATTGGAGTTATGAATGAATATGTGATTGTTTTTATGTTTTATTTTTACATAACATTGATCAAAAATCAAAAATTTTGTCATAATAAATGTGACAAAGACTATACTTAATTATTGATAATATTGTTCTTTATTATGTACTTGTTGCTATATTTTAGATTATTTAATTTGGTCAAAAATTGAACTTTAGGACACTCGGAGGTTGGTTTTATATTTTATTTTTACATTATATTATTCTTTATTACATATTCACCTTGTTTTATTTTTAGGTGATTTAATTTGATAATTGAATGTGACAGATTATATTTTTATATTTATTAATTATTTGAAATTAAAGGACATTTTGAGAATTGATGAATGGTAAAAAAAAGTTGAATAATTTTAAAAGGTAATAATAATAAGTTAATTGATTTTAGCAAAGTTTTCATATTCATTTTTTATAATACCTAGAAAATATTGACGAATTATCATACCTGATATTACAGCTACGATATAGGAAATAATATGATGGGATGTAATTCTTTTGCTTTGCTTTTACATTTAAATTTATTTTAGTAATGAGCACTAAAATTCATTCAAAATCTTTTTTTGACCAAGATTCAAAGATTCGATGTTTCGCATCATGACCAAACAATAAACCTGTATGGTATTAATTAAATGTGCATTATACAAATATACACATGTTGCTACATGATCCTCGCAAAGAATTGTAATAAAATCAGCACGTTATATAAATCTACTAACAATAAGTTTGAAAATGCATACTCCAACAAATAACCAAATTACTGCTATATCCGGTGGAATCAAGTAAACTCCAAACAAAATAGCGATAAGACCACCATCGATGATAATTGGAGTTAAAGAAAGTAACTTTATGTAATAAATTTTATCAACATAAAATCCTAGGCGTTGTAATTACTGCATCAAAAGCTTGCATATCGTAAAGTTCCAAAGATAAAAGCTCGTGACAAATAACAATTTTCTATAATAATAAGTTCGTGACGATTAATATAATAATAATAAATTGTGCATGACAAACTATAAAAGGAAATGTAATGGAGTGCTATATTTTGGAAGTTTACGGTAATATTAACCATGGTATTCAACATCATCTAAACATTCAATGTCAAATTTAAAGAATTCGTCCAAACTATTACTGTGTGCTTTCCATTTTTGTTCTTCGGGTATGCGCTTATAATTATTTACAACAGGAATGTCATTAATCATTGATCCACTTATGTTTATTCGGATAAATTCAGTACATGTTGATTCACAGTTATTGTGAAGATGTTTGCCATTAAATTCTTGTCTAGTTGCCTATTAATTTTTTTTTAAAAAAAAAGGTTAAGCAAGCATACGTTAGTTTTTAATTTAAATGATCAATTATTAATCCAATCTACGATTAATTTACCTTCATTCCTAAAGAAAATGCCAATTGTCGAATAAGTTGAGATATGTGTGGAAGAGATTTATTATCTTGAGTGACAAAGTAACAACAACGGTTTGGTTTATAATATGAAATATAACCACTAGTATCAATAAGTCCAGCCAAAAAATTGAGGCGAAAATTCTCTGATTGATTTATTAAATTAGAAATCAAATCATCTTCAAACAATTTATTCTTTCCAAAAAGCCCCAATTGTTTCAGAATAATAGTGAAAATGTTGTTGTATTCATTCTGAATAGGTTCAATCATTGAATTATCATTATCAACGATAGGGATTTCAAAATCATCGTATTTCATGGTGTGATGCATATTTGTTGAATCCATTGTAGTAGTTAAAATAATACCCTTGAGACATTCATCAATTGTGTTTGTAATTACCATCTTAAGTTGTAATTTACTTGAAATTTCTTTTAATTTATATATTACATCTTGTGAATTGTCTAGATGAACATGTATTATTGGTTTTGATGGGTCACCACTGCCTAACCATGCACCTAATAACCATGAAAGTTCACACTCATCAATATAATTTTCATAAAAACCCGCTTCGTTGTATGATTCTTCGATCAAATTTTTGATGTTTAAAGCACTTGGATCAGGGAATTTTAAAACAGGACGATAATACATTCTAATATATTTGTCAATAAATGGATATTTTTCCTGGCATCTAAGATAATTCTCGACAGAAACTTCCCAAATATAATTTTTGATAAATTCAAGCTGTTGTTTTACAAAATTACTAGCAAATAGTAAAGCATTCTTATATTCATATTGGCGAATATAGGAAATGTTTTTGGTTGATATTGTTGGAACAATTATGCCAAGTTGTTGGTCATAAGTATTAAATGTCATGTAACTAACGGTGATTAAGTTTCTGCTTTCATCTTCATTTATTATTGGATAGAATTTAGATTTGAGTACTAAAAGATGGGCACCATTGCAAACAAATCCATCATTTTCCCAAGGAATGTATTTTGATTTTGAATTTACATGCTTTATACGATACATAGCGCCATGACCTCTTGTAAGCGAAACAACAAGACGATAATCACCATCATCGCCCATAACCCGATCTCCAACAGTTACATCCTTTGCCTGTTTAAATTTACCGCTAGACAACATGATTTCCGTATCACCACTAATTATCAAATAAAATAATAAATGAATTATTTGGTTTGACCAAAAAATAAAAAAAATATATCAAAACCTTGCATACCTAAAACACAAACGAATTTGCCTCATCAAACGATACTTGTATCTGTACATTCCAGTAAGTTGACCAACATGTGCAAAAATATATTGCAGTCCATCAGCCAATTGGAATGCATCAACATTACCCAAACGATATTGAACATGTGAGTCAACAACAAGTTTGGTCAATCGTAAAATTTCTCTTTGTAAATGAAAAGCATTACCAAATCGTGATTTTTTCCTTTCTTTTGTTGTAAGAGTTTTTACCGGTTTTAAACTAATTTTTTTGTATTAGTGAATAAATGTAAAAATAACAAATGATAAATAATAAATATAATAATAATAATAATAATAATAATAATAATAATAATAATAATAAATTTTGGTTTTTTTTTAATTAAATATATTTACTAACTTGAAATTGTAATCTAAATGTAGATAATTTAGATTTTTTCTATGAATTAAAAGATTGAGCATATTGTAACCTTGGCGACAGACTTGTAAGCCAGCTTCAACCCAATCCAATTCAGTAGTTTGAAAAAATTTTGTTGACTTGAGATTTCTGAATAAATATTTCTTATTCAAAGCTTTTGGAGGGCGATGTTTTAATGCATTAAGCACAAAACATTTTATTAATTTCTGATAGGATACACGAACTTTAACAGGTTGCCCAGGAGGACAATGTTCAAGATACCAATTTTTAACTAAAGGAACATCTTCAGCACGACGCATTCTGCCACTTCTTTTATTAAATGGATGAGGTGCCCACCATAGTGCTATTCCATCAGCAGTAGTATCAGTGTAAAGAGGTAGGTCCTTTAAGAATGATTTAATATTGTCCGGTAATGTAAATTCTTCATCGACATTATTGTCACCAAATAATTCATCCTCGTGTGATATTTTTAAATTTTGAGGATTAATGTTACGTGAAGAAATAGGATTAATTATAGGATCAAAATAGAATGCAGGTAAGTCAGGATCTTCAGCTCTGATGTAGACAACTGTTGGTTCATGGTACCATGAAACATGTACTGAACGTGGTAATGAATTGTATAAAAATGGAAAAGCTATTTTGTATTCGGTACGTATAGGTTGACGTATGATGATTTTATTGATATCATTAAATTCATTCCAATCATCGTCGGCAGTATCCATATCTCTATATAATGGTTCAAATTTCGGACCTCCTGGAATTGCCATATTCAGGGCTTTAGCAGTGAAAAATGATTTTAAATCGAATAAATAAAAATAATTTTGATCTGTAAGATCTGAAAGAAGTTGATGTGCCAACCGATATAAAGTTGACATTATAGGTAGACTTAATTTCCATCTTCTATATGTTGAACCATTTACAAATTTTGTGTCTAATAAAGGTTTATGATCATAAAACCATTCGTAAACTGGTGCATCTTCATCCTCTTCTAAATCCATTTGAATTGCTTCTAATGGCTCTACATCTAAAATATTATCACCATAATCTAAAGGAGGCTCTTCATCATCAAATGGTGGAAATCGCATACGTTTGAAATGTCTTCTATCTCTTTTTTCTCTGCGCATCATAATCCACATTGTACCCCATTGTGCAATATATACTGGCTCTATTACCCAAGGTATCTCATTAACAAAAGTGATTGCACCAGTAATGTGATACAAAACTGGTACCTCTCTAACCTGGTTACATTGACCAAAATTATAATTAAATTATTATATATTAAATTAAATTAAGAAATGTTTGATCTTTATCAATCATTAAATTAATTTTAATTACTTGTTCCCAGGGCATAGGCATATTTTCCAACAATTTTAAAACAGCATGTGGTACATATTTCAAGGCGCCAAGATAGATCCTTTTATCATGCCTATATTTTTTACTTGACATATCTCCATGATCTTTAATAATCTTTCGTATATGCTCTGGTGGCATGTCGGCTTTTTCATGTTCAATAAATCCAAATTTTCTTTTTTCACCATATTTCTTTGATTGCATCTGCTGCCATTTCCTCGCCTTTTCTTCTAATTTTTCTTTAGACATAAGTTCCATCCATTCATCCATTGTCTGTTATTTTTTATAATAACAATAATTAATATTAAGAAAAAAAAAAAAAAAAATTCAAATCGAATCAAAAAAATCAAAAATAAATAAACCGAATCAAATCGAACCAAATATGCTGTACAACAATATGTATCACAAGTGGCAATTAATACTACAATATACTCATTTAAAAAAAAAAGGTCTCTAATGCTTGTTGCTGCCTGCATGTGCTATACACTATACATACAATTTTCCGGGAGTTATACAGTATATAACAGACCATTGGCTTAATATTAGCATTTAGACCAAATGTCTAAATGTACCAATAATATATGTCTAAATTGCTAAATAAATTTAGACATTGTCAAATGCGTTTATTCAAATGCCCATCTTATAGTATTAAATTACATGCAACTCGAGATGCAGTTAATGTTAGGGATGTTAAATTGCTCGTCAGTTCGGCTCAACCTAGTTTTAGAGTTCAAGCAGATTGAACTTTTTTTAAAAATAAGCTTTTGCAAATTCGAAATATGAGTTACATAATAATAATATATTACTCAAACGGGTTAGGTAATTCGTATTTTTATTCTTTTATTTACCCTTAATTTTCTTAGCACATTCTACTATTTATGACGTAATCTTTAAAGTATAATTGAAAGCGCGCTTCGAGCGGATATTAAAAATATTAATTGAATTTGTTCTTAAAACTCAGTCTAATTATGCTCGGCCGAAGCAATTAACATCCCTAGTTAATATTAACGAATCACACCATGCAGACGATTTCCGAACACGATTTTGGTGGCATTGATAAATTTCAAAAAAATTATGATGATTACATATTTTATTATAAAAGCTCTTATACAAAGATTATAAAAAACCACCCACACACTCTCTCTACCAATATTGTTATTTTTATACTACTATAAATTAATTTTCTATTACCAAATTATTGCCACAAATTAAATTTTATACTGTTGGTTTACATCAAATATAATTTCTTTGCCGTTTTTCCAAATTCTTTAGAAAAATAAATATATATGGGGCATACTGCAACAAAACCAGACAAAGTGAACATTGGTATTACCAAATATTTCAGGGATCAAAATTTAGTAATGTGATTA